AATGTGGGGCCATGTCTGTAATTTATATGCAAATGTCAAAAGGCTAAAAGGGTCTCTAAGCCATAAAGCCCAAACAATCATCAATGATCCTAAGCAGATGCTACAGATTTCCCCCCTTTTGGCTGATGAAGTTCTCCTGCAAACATCGTCAGACAACAGTTGTCATGATGGTCGGACAGCAGGTGGATCCTGAAGGCCGGATGACAGGTGGATCATGAAGAACGGATGGCAGGTGGTTTCTAATTTTCCTCAGCCTTTGGGTCCTCAGCTTGGGTGTTTATCTTGTTCAGGTTCAGCATTGTCTCTGCCTGGGTCCCTCTTTTCCAGTGGTTCCGTTTGAAGGTTCGAGGAAGTGCAGCCGTGCACTTGTTCATAGACCTTTGCACCCCGTTGACTCTGTTAAACAGGACAAAAGCAAGGCCGACTGTTAGGGTGTACCCGATTGCTGTGGCAAGGGAAAGTGCTGTGTCGGCAGAGGTCCAGGATCGAGTGACGGGAAAGGTGTTCTGGACAGGTATCCGGGACAGTGCTTGGAGGGCTGTGTCGATTGGGGTGATGTCAATCGTCTGGGACCTCCCTTTCTCAATGCTCAGTTCCAATTCAGGTTCCAGGGTGAGATTGTGGGCCATGTCTGTAATTTATATGCAAATGTCAAAAGGCTAAAAGGGTCTCTAAGCCATAAAGCCCAAACAATCATCAATGATCCTAAGCAGATGCTACAGATTTCCCCCCTTTTGGCTGATGAAGTTCTCCTGCAAACATCGTCAGACAACAGTTGTCATGATGGTCGGACAGCAGGTGGATCCTGAAGGCCGGATGACAGGTGGATCATGAAGAACGGATGGCAGGTGGTTTCTAATTTTCCTCAGCCTTTGGGTCCTCAGCTTGGGTGTTTATCTTGTTCAGGTTCAGCATTGTCTCTGCCTGGGTCCCTCTTTTCCAGTGGTTCCGTTTGAAGGTTCGAGGAAGTGCAGCCGTGCACTTGTTCATAGACCTTTGCACCCCGTTGACTCTGTTAAACAGGACAAAGGCAAGGCCGAGAGTTAGGGTGTACCCGATTGCTGTGGTGAGGCAAAGTGCCATGTCGGCAGAGGTCCAGGATCGGGCAACGGGAAAGTCAAGTCAAGTCAAGTCACCTTTATTTATATAGCGCTTTGTACGATATCTATATCAATAAGATCAATTCTATGCGATATAATCAAATCTAGCGTATGATTAAAACGATGAGTGGGCCCAGTGACGTTTTGCTTGACTCCAAAAGAGTTTATTAGGTGATTGTTTTTGTTGTAGAATACGATAGGGGATATATTCACACGTTATAGAAACGAAAATGATGGTGTATAAAATTGATTTTAAGATAAAAAATTAGACGACAAGAATTAACTTGATGGAGCTCAAACTCAAAACACACGGCAGCAACAAACAGGAAGTTTGTCTGGACAGGCAGCCGAGACAGTGCTTGGAGGGCTGTGTTGATTGGGGTGATGTCAATCATCTGGGAACCCCCTTTCTCAATGCTCAGTTCCAATTCAGGTTCCAGGGTGAGATTGTGATCCTTGAAGAAGGCTGGAATTTCTACCTCTGATTGGTACTCTTCACTCGGTAGATGGTACAGGGCCAGGTCCCCGAGGTAGAGGATGGCGCCCTTGGGTACTTGAATCCACATACTTGGGCAAGCTGACATGGGTGGCAGTGTCATGCTGGTCATAAGTCAGTGTGGCGCTATGGATGGGAGTGTTGACAAGCCACTGATTTCCTACAATCTCTGCTCATGTTTCTGTGACCTGGGTGCGAGGCTTGGTTTCTTGATGACTTTATTGGGCTTCCAAGGCAGGTAACAGTCCATGTTCAGACTCTGAGCCTGTACACTCTTTAATCAGTGTCTCATGTAGTAGCTGGTAGTTTGACTTTATGAGAGCAGGTTGTCTGCCTAGGAGGCTTCGCACCTCAGGACTGGATGCGGGTCTGAGGAGGTATAACCTGCCTCTGTCAGTCGCATGAGCTTCCACTTCAAGGTGAAAATCTATGCTAGAGCTGGATATCTTGGCCTTCTGTAGAGTTCGGTTAAACTGGGTGATGTTTTAGCCAGTTTGTCAAGGTCTTTAAGAGTCATCTTATGTGCAGTTTCAGGTTCTGCATGGATGGACTTTCTTCTTTTGTTAGAAGAGAAGAGTTCTGTGGTGAAGGCTGGCGATGCTTTGGTTTTTCATTCACTTCTTCCATTGTGTAGCTATTCTTGGATGGGGGACTCCGTTCTGCTCAGCGGTGGTGATGCTGATGAGGGCTCCGCCGTACTTGGCTCTAATTTCTTTTCAGGTGGTCTTCCAGAGCATTTATTTTAGAGTCTTTGTTTTAAGGTCAGTTTTGGCTTTCTCTAGTAGCTGTTCTGCAGACTGGAGATGTTTTCTCAGGTCCTTCTGGGAAGCCTTTATTTCTTGTCGGTCAAGTTTAGCAACAGCAAGGGCTTCTTGGAGCTGTTCAACTTTTTCCTTTGTTTCCTGTTTCACTCCATCTGGTAACTTGAGTTTATTCTGGGTTTTCATTTCGAGCTTGTCTGTGCAGTGTGAGATGTGCACTAGCTCTCTCAGAAACTCAGTGGTCTAATGCTTGAAATCATCTTGGACGTTCACTACCAGCTTGTCTATGCGGCTTTGGGCATGTGTCAACTCCTTCTGAAGATGGGTGTTGTGCTTGTTGCTTAGTGTCAGCTGGGCTGTGAAGGCATAGCTTAGGGAACTGATGACCTTGGTTAGCTCCCCGTGGTTGTGATTCTGGCTTGAGTCGTGTGTCAGGAGTCTCTTCCGAATAGTGACTATTACTCAGAATAATAACAGTTCAATGGTCTTGTGGGTGAGGCTATTCGTAATGCCTCTTAGCCAGGTGTTCACATCTACTCCTTGGGCAGTGGGGTTTGCAGTCTTTGACATGCTGGCAGACTGGAAAGTGAGGACTGACACAGATCTGTATGGTGTTATAAGCCCACATGTGGTGGAACAGCTAGTGTCGTTTCAGTGATTGCAAACCAAAAGTGGAGTGGGTTGTAGTGGGGGTTTGCTGTTTGGAATTGACAGCAACCCGGCATGCTCTGACATATTCCGCCACGTCTTGCTGTATGACAGCCCAGTATGCCACTTGTTTTAGTGTCTCATAAGTGTTGCTGGTACTGTGGTGTCCAGCACATGCTGCGTTCTGGGCATACATTAACACGTTACATATATAAATCACATTTCTTATCAATATACATTTAATGGTTAACAATAAAGATTAAAAATAAGGAACAGATGTTCATTACAAATACATTGTTTAAGCGTGTCCTAGATAAATACGATGTCCCCATTTATTAACTAACAATCATGTATTTCATAGATGCACAAATAAAGATATAGGTGAAAACAGAATACAGTGACGTCAGCCCTGGTTTTAATAAGCAGTTATTAGTTAGTTTATGACACGGAACGCGGTGGTGAAACTCATCCATCTAGCAAGAACATAACGATACACAAAATAATCATATTGATTCAAACATATAACATTTATGAATTAATTAAATGTCAGTAATGAAAAATACTGCACAAATTATAGTGATCACGAAGAAGGTCCCTATTCTGTCCCAAACGCATACGGTAAAGTGAATATACAGTATACAACAGCCCATCAGTTATATTCAGGTCTGCCACCTGTTGGTGCAGTTGTGTAACTTAGAGAACAACTTTCGTTATGTCGGGATCACGAAAAAATAACTGATTACGTTGTTGTCAATGTCAATGTTGCCAATTTAGTGATTTTGTCAGTAGATTTAGTGACTTCCTCACCCCTTTTGAGACTTTTTTTCAAAAGCCTATAGCAACAAAATCTATTTCTTGGACAAATCTTATCTAGATTCCAAGACTCTCCCACTGATCTATATTTATATTTATATAGATCAGTGAACTCGCCATTATGACGTAATCTAGCAACATTTAGCAACTGTTTTAGCTACTTTCAATTGAAAGCAGTTGGCAACACTGGTCAGTGCTTTTTCCCCTCGTATTTTGATGGTTTAAGTGAAATGTGGGGTCATTAAAAAAAAAACCTCCACACATAACTTTTGGTCAAAGATGGAAACTCGAGTTCAAGTGCACTTAAAGTCACAAAAATAAAGACTTGTGACTTGACTTGGACTTGTGATCAGCTGACTCGAGACTTGACTTGGACTCATGACTCGTGAGACTCGTAAAAATGCAAGTCATTTTTATATGATATTCCATTCATATTCTCCCTTTCCCAGCCAACATGTATATGTGGGCCCCACATGGTTTATGCTGGGTCTACATGGGTACCAAGTGGGCATGGTCCCAAAATTGTCGACATGGTGTAAACATCCATTTGTTTTAAAATGCAAACTTAACATCTGTCTTATTTTTAATCCTAATTAGGAGACGAATAACTAGTTATGGTTAATTATTCATATTTCCCATGAGCTGAGTCGCTACAAAACACACCAAGCCATTATTATATACACACACGTGTCACTGGTTCAAAACTGTAATGTACCCACTCTAGAAAATCATGATTAATATCAGATTGCATTGTAAATAAACTAAACAGTCTAAAGGCATCTTTACACACCGAACGCGGCACAGAAACCAAAACTGAAGCGTAGGGATGTAATTATGCACCCCAAGACGGTTGAAAATCGATACAAATATGTGACAATTCAAATCGGTTTAGATGTTAAATGAATCGCGGTAGTTTATATGAATGAATCTCTGAGGGGAACTGACTGTCTTTAGAAAAGTTTAGATAATTTTTCTTTGCATCTTGCCTCTGTATAATGCAGTGTTCACAAGCACTTTACAGCGGTAACCAAGGAAACGCTGTATCACTGCTGTTCCATTAGCGCCACCTGCTGTCAGAGAGTGAATCTGCGTCTCATTCAACTCATCTGATGTTTTTGTCTCGTTCAAGTCAAGTCAAGTTGAGCTTTATTTTCATTCCGCTACATGTGGGGACATACAGTGGAACGAAATGTCGTGCCTCACGGGACCACGGTGCTACATAAATACAGACATACAACAATGAAGTAAAACATTGTTATCCTATACACAACTAACCTACTGACAGATTTTGACTATAAATATACTATATAAATGTTTACCTATACATAAGCTAAAAAAATACAAACTATACAAATGCTTCACATAATACTGTACATGTGCAAAGAGAAACATCGTAAGTCAAGCAGCTGGCTGGGGAACAGTGCAAGATGATTTGTAGTGCATGAGCATGTAAACATTCACATATTACTGAGTCTTTTGTGGGATTATGTACACACAGCAGTGTGTGTAAAAAGTGTTAAGTGCGCATAGAGGAGTGTGTTACTACAGGTGGTTTGTACAGGCCCACTCACCTGTGTGTAGCACACTTCGAATTGCACAAAAAAAAAAGTTTGTTTGGGAGGTGGAGGAGGTGAGATGGTCCATGTTTCAGGAGGTAGGGGGTTTGTGTGGGATTTCAGAGGAGGGCGGGGTGATTTGAGTTCAGGGCTCTCACAGCCTGGGGGAAAAAGCTGTTGAGCAGTCTGGCGGAGTGGGCTGTCATGGTCCGGTACCGTCTTCCTGATGGTAGGAGCTGGAAGAGACTGGGAGGGATGGGTGGGGTCCTTCACGATACTGTTGGCTTTGCTGGAGCATCGTGTAAGGAAAATGTCCAGGATGGAGGGGAGAGGGGCACCGATGATCTTTGCAGCTGTGTTCACTGTCCGCTGGAGGGTCTTGCTGCGTGGGTTAATCCTAGATAGGGTCTTCCTTACGTCGGCTGGAGACAGACGGAGCGCCTGGTCATTGGGAGGTATGGGCAGTTTTTGTGCAGGTGTGTCAGTCTGCATTTCAAACAGTGTATAAAAGTGGTTGAGTGTATCCGGCAGGGATGTGTCATTATCGTAGGCCTGTGGCAGGGGCTTGTAGTAAGTGATGGTCTGAAGGGCTTGCCACAGGCTCTGTGTGTCTCTGCTGTCTGTGAATTGTTGATTTTTTTGAGCATATGACCGTTTTGCATTTTTGATGCCACAGGACAGATTGGCTCTTGCTGTTTTGAGGGCTGCTTTATCTCCTGATCTGAATGCTTCATCTCTGGTCTTTAGCAGCCCTCTGCTGTCATCCACGGCTTCTGGTTTGCACGTGTGGTGATGGTCTTGGTGACTGTCACATCATCAATGTACTTTTTGATATAAGCACTCACAGTTTCAGTGTACTCCTGCAGGTCTGTGTGGTTGTTGTAGGTGGCTGCCTCTTTAAAGGGGTCCTATTATACTTTTTCACTTTTTAAATTTTAGTCAGTGTGTAGAGTGTATGTTTGGGCATAAAAAAGATCTAGGAAGTTACAAATCCACTCCAAAGGGAGATATTTCGTTTTTTAAAAATCCCTTTTCAAGAACTACAACGAATGGCTCGTTTGGACTACAGCGTTTGTTTTCCGGGCTTTGTGATATCACAAAGCGGCTCATTAGAATATAATTACAAATAATTCCCGCCTACAGAAATTTGAATGGTTGGGGGGTGGGGAGGGGTGAGGTTGTGGTTAGAACGCTTGGCTGAGTGAGTGCATCAGACGAGACGATGAAGAAGAAGTGCTGCTGCAGAGTTAGTGCATCAGAGAAAACGAAGAAGAAGTGCTGCTGTGCTGTAGCGTAAAATTTTCGGCATGTCTAGAACAATTCTTACAAGTATAACATGACATAGCTGGGCGCCGCGGACAGACGCCGAACGGCACCGCCGGTGTGCCTTCACTCATAGAAAATAATGTATTTTAATTTTAAAGACGTGGTGCGACGCGACGCTGCGCTTCTCGTCCGGTGTGCGACCGCCTGAAACGCTGTTTTTTTCACCTCCGTGCTTCCGAAAGCGTCTTTGGGCTTCCGAAAGCGGATGATGTCAGGAAACAGTGGTTGCAGTTTATTTTTTAACTCTGTTCCTGAGCATTATAACCCCAATTTGCTATTGTGTGCTGCGCATTTTACTGACGACAGCTTCCACAACACGAGTGAGTACAGTGCCGGATTCGCCAAAAGCTTTTGTTGAAAGACGGAGCAAGGGGCGTGGCAGTGCTGCAACACCGTCTAAGCTGTTCGCCAATCACAACGCACTGGGACAGCTAACCAATCACAACACATTTTGTTTTTCGGAAGGCACACCTTCATCAAAGCCAGAACTAATCGAGCCGTTTGTGCCAGGCTGGGGAGAAAGGTATTTTAATAATGTAAATTATGTGAAAAATGATGCATTTTTCGAACCACCAAGCATGAGAGCATGTTCTAGTACACACCCAAAACAAAATCAAGACTTTGTAAAAGAGCATAATAGGACCCCTTTAAACATGTTCCAGTCTATGCACTGAAAGCAGTCCTGTAGTGTTGAGGTAGCATCATCTGGACAAATTGTGATGAGTTTTTGAACCGGTTTGGCGAGTTTCAGAAGTGGTCTGTATGCTGGAATTAGCATAACCGAGATGTGATCCGAGTACCCTAGGTAGGGGCTGGGGGAAACAGACTTGTACGCGTTCTATTCTGTTCTGTAAACAAAGTCCAGTGTGTTTTTTCCCCTTGTTGCAAAGTTCACATGTTGGTAGAACTTTGGCAAAACTGTCTTTAAGTTTGCGTGGTTGAAGTCACCGGCTATTATGAAAAAGCCATCAGGGTTATTTGTTTGTTGTTCGCTGATGGCGCTGTACAGCTCGCGAAGCACGTCCTTGGCGTTTGCACATGGGGGAATGTAAACTGCGACAATAACAATGGCCGTGAACACCCGCGGCAGATAGAACGGTCGACACTTCACAAACATAAACTCCACCAGCGATGAACAGTGTTTTATCACTACCACAGCATTGTTACACCACTCTTTGTTGATGTACACACACAAGCCACCCCCGCGAGTCTTACCAGACAGTGCTGTATCTCTGTCCGCTCGGTAGCAGGTTAACCCGTGCAGCTGATTAGCGGAGTCCAGGATGTTGTCGTTTAGCCATGTTTCAATGAAAACAAACACACAACAATCCCTTGTCTCATGCTGTGTAGACCGACTGAGTTGAATTAAGTCCAGTTTATTTTCCAGAGAGCGAACGTTTGAGAGCATGAGTGATGGAATCGCTGGTCTAGTGGGGTAAAACCTTAGCCTAGCTCGTGTGCCTTCACTCTTGCCGTGCTTCTGTCCCCTCTCACACCGCCGTAGTCGCTGTTTTGTGCAGGTAGCATCAGTAGGTGAGGCCGCGGAGTTCGGCTTCAGCAGCAGACAGAGGCCTCGTAGCTTCTCAGTAGTCACCGGCGAAAGCTGATGTTTGTACACACTGCCGATTTCCAGAAGGCTCTGTCGATCATAGATGTGTTTCCGAGTGTTCATCTGATGATTTTGTGATAAGGTGAGACTGTTCAAAGACGAGGAAACGAGACTAACAGACATAAAAACACTGGTTTTGGGACCCAGAGTAGCTGCTGCGTCCGACCACGCCACCATCTTGGATTTCTATGTTTTGTTTAGTATCTTGGATTCACATGTTTTATTTAGTATAGTTTCACAAAATTAAAGTCAGACCGTTCTGTTTTTGCTTCAGATTTCAAAATAATACAATATAATTTAGATTTAAAACTACTTTGTTTGGATTGTGATTAAAATGCAGTGGTTGCCTCTGATTTTAAATAGAACGAGCACAAACAAAGCCTTAGCTTGTTTATACGAAGAGACTTCGTTCATTTGTGTTATTTATTTGATTTGGGGTTTGTTTAAAAATTATTATTTGACATATTTCAATTAGACAAAGAAATGTGCAGCATTTTGTCATGAGAAAATCGTATCATGACATCAATATCCTGAATTGTATCACATCGTGAGTTGAGTGAATCTTTACATACCTTCTGAAG